CTCCCTACCTCCCTTACACCAGACCAACCTCTCTCTCTCTTTCTCTCCCCCCTTACACCAGACCTCTCTCTCTCTCTCTGTCTCTCTCTTCTTTCCCTTACACCAGACCAACCTTCCTCTCCCTCTCTCTCCCTTACATCAAACTACCTTCTCTATCTCCCGTACACCAGATTACTCCCCTTTCCTCGCACCAGACCAACCCCTCCCCCCAGCGCCAGACACTCTATACCCCCCTCCCTATCTCACACCAAACCTCTCCCTCCCTCCCTATCTCCCTCACATCAAACCTCTCCCTCCCTCCAGCAAGGCAGTATTCCCCTCACCCCTCACAGCGCGTCCTCCTCCTCCTCCCCTCGTAATCGCATATTCATTCTGTAATGTACTCGTTAGCCGTATATGGGCACACACAGCCGCGCCGCTCACAGATCAAAGGCGGCCTCCTCACGTATGTTTAAATTGCTCTGCACAGACTGTTGATTCTCCCCTCTCCTCCCTACAGTTACCCTCAGCCTGCCCCTATCATGATCCTAACCAGCCTCTAGCATGATCCTAGCCAGACTCTAGCATGATCCTAGCCAGACTCTAGCATGATCCTACCCAGACTCTAGCATGATCCTAACCAGCCTCTAGCATGATCCTAGCCAGACTCTAGCATGATCCTAACCAGCCTCTAGCATGATCCTAACCAGCCTCTAGCATGATCCTAACCAGCCTCTAGCATGATCCTAGCCAGACTCTAGCATGATCCTAACCAGCCTCTAGCATGATCCTAGCCAGACTCTAGCATGATCCTAACCAGCCTCTAGCATGATCCTAGCCAGACTCTAGCATGATCCTAACCAGACTAGCATGATCCTAACCAACCTCTAGCATGATCCTAGCCAGACTCTAGCATGATCCTAACCAGACTCTAGCATGATCCTAGCCAGACTCTAGCATGATCCTAACCAGACTCTAGCATGATCCTAACCAGACTCTAGCATGATCCTAACCAGACTCTAACATGATCCTAAACAGCCTCTAGCATGATCCTAGCCAGGCTCTAGTGTGATCCTAACCAGACTCTAGCATGATCCTAACCAGACTCTAGCATGATCCTAACCAGACTCTAGCATGATCCTAGCCAGACTCTAGCATGATCCTAACCAGACTCTAGCATGATCTTAGCCAGACTCTAGCATGATCCTAATCAGCTTCTAGCATGATCCTAGCTAGACTCTCCCATGATCGTAGTTAGCCTCTAGCATGATCCTAGCTAGCCCCCCAGCCTGCTCCTAGCTAGCTGAATAAGAGCTAGGCTCTAGCCTGCTCTTATTCGGCCCCTAACCTTTGTCTAGCCATGTTCTAGCCTGCTTCTAACCAGGCTTTAGCCTGCTTCTACCCAAACTCTAGCCTGCTTCTAGCCAGGTTGTAGCCTGCTTCTAGCCAAGCTTTAGCATGCTTCTAGCCAGGCTCTGTCCTGCTTCTAGCCAGGTTCTACCCCTGCTTCCAACCAGGCTCTAGCAGTCTGTAGCCAACTCCTAAACTGCCAGTGGTCAGCCCCTAGCCTGCCTGAAGCCTGCCTGTAGCCAACCCTTAGTTTGCCTGTAGCTACTCCTAACCAGCTTGTAGCCAGCTCCTAGCCTGTATGGTGGTGATGATAGTGCTCTTGGAGTGGTAGTGGCAATAGGTTATGGTGGTGGTGGTGATACAGAGGATGGTTGAGGGATGATGGTGGTTGAAATTATTACATATATAAGAGTGCACAACTGGTGTAAAATTTACATAGAGGAAATTCAACTAAATTATGCAAAACGGGATACATGCACACCTATATTTATATAATTATGAAGTGTTAAACCCTTAAGAAGTCGTAGAGCACTTGGGGAATGGGAGGTAATCGGGTGTGATCCAAGAGGTGAATTGCTCCAATTCCTTGGATGGAAAAACTTCACTATTATTTAAGCACTCACATTGAGGGCGAAATGCACGCGTAAAAAAGCTCATCAAATATAAAAATAATGGAGAGAGAGGCTGCGAGGAGTGACGGGAATACAGATGAGTGGAGTATTATCTTCATGGGGATGCACAAAACCCATAGGGAATGGGAGATAATCATCTGTTTCCTGAAATAACTCAGGGATCCTGGAAATATTAACTCACACATAACACACAAGACTTAACTCTTACAAAAATATAAACAACTAATACTAACAAAAACACAAATAAATACTATTACGCCCAGTTAAAATAATCATCTTTTTTAAATGACAATACTCAGATTATTAGTGTTACAAGGGTCTCTTTAAAAGTTCCCCAGCGTGCCTTGAGCCACCCTGGTAATTATACAAAACATGATGGAAGCAAGATACACACAGAAGTAAGGTAACCCGAATCATATAGTGCCTGGGGGTATGGGAGGCATTCAGATTCGATCCAAGGAAGGGAAACAGGCCCAGTTCCCTCGATGAAGAGTCTCGTCAGCATCAGGAAACCTCGCTGGATAATTATAATTATTATAATCATGGGGAGCGCTAAACCCGTAGGATTATACAAGAACCTCCCTTGCGAGGAGCTCGTTGACAGGACCCACTGGGTCCGCCACTTCCGAAGACACGCCATGTATAAACGTAAGTAACCATTCTTACAGGATTCATTACCTTTGTAACTTGTGAGTTCAATACCTTCGTACCTAGTTCAGCTATCAAAACTTTTGGGGCCCAGTCCCTGGACCCATTATGTACCTCTGTAATCTGTAAATACCTTTGTAACTTGTCATGATTGTGACCAGACCTACCTGGAGTTCATTACTTTTGTAAATTGTGAGTTCATTACCTTTGTAAATTGTGAGTTCATTGCCTCTGTAACTTGCTCAGCTATCAAAACTTTGGAGTCCAGTCCCTGGACCCGTTATGTACCTCTAATCTTTTGACTACAGCCCACAGGATGGATATGGGGTGCATAATAAACATATTAAACTTAAACCTTATCTGTGGCATCTGTGGCCAAGAAATAATAACCCACCAGAATATGATCAAACTAATCACTAAACCCGTAAGGGTCATACAACACTGAGCAACCTCCCAGAAAGGGAAAGAATAGCTCCAGTTCCTTGAAATAATGCCTTTCACCTTAAGGTATGCTCTTGTGGTAAATGTAAGACGTCATTTAGTCGTAGATCTGGCCTCCTGGTTGATGACCTTATCGACCACATTGTGCTAGTTGCATGCACACCAACATAGGCACCACAGCCCGTCTAATCGGGAACTGACTTGAGGAACTTACGAAGTTCCTTCTTGAAGACAGCCAGGGGCCTGTTAATAATTCTCATTCTGTATGGTGTTAAAATGTCTTGGTTTCTTTACGCTTGTTATCTGTCTCATAGCACTCCTGCTTTTTCAGTAGAGTTATCGTGCATCATTATTATTATCAAAACTAAGTTCTAAACCCACAAGGGTCATAATCTTGCACCATATTCCAAGGCTCTTGCTTTCAGAGTGATTTAGATGTGCAGATTTGGAGCCATAAACCCTGAATTTTACGAGTGTAAATTATGTGATCCCACTTTTCAAATATTATTATTATAATATTCATGGGGAAGCACTAACCCATAGGGGTCAAAAGGAACTAGAACATAAGGGGTAATCAGGTTTGATACATGTAGACAGTAGCTCCAATCCCTTGTGTGCAAAATAATTTCCCAATATTATGCTGTGTAAATAAACTTGATTAAAAGTGCATTTTTAAAAGAAGAGAATGGAGCCGACAGGGAGGCTCTGCGCATGCGCAAGAGACTCGCCATCTTGGTTTTGAATTTTGTACAAACGTTGGTGTAATGGGAAGAATTTTTCGTGCTCTAGAGGTTAAAATTGTGCTGACACCTCTCAAATAGGAGGCGAAATTGGTGGATGTGCATTCCTGCATAACTTGAGATATCAGACGACTGGA